TATATATATATATATATACAGCCGTCTCTGGTCCTCTTCCTCGTAATCGACGCAGGCTACAGCATACCACCAAAAGGTTTCTTCTATATCTTCATGACTTGATTTATTATAACATAAATACTCATTTTCTTTCTTTCTCTTTTCACTCAACTATCTATCTTATACTTTATATGAGAAACTATTATTTTTGCGTCCATGATTAATTTAAATGCCTATTAAATTGCACAAAACTGCGTCCTCCATGTTCTGGGCTCTTGAAATGCTGACATTCTCCTAATTTAGATAAATACGATACCAAAGTTAATTGGGAGAAGAAAACACAAATTAAACTAATTGTTCTACAATGGAATTGCTTGGTTATGCTTTTTCTGATGTGGTTTTATTTACACTGTAGCACAATAAGTTACTCCTGAATCTGCATAAGTTTAAATTTGTCGATGTTTTTTGTGGTTTTTATATGGTTCTCCTCTAATTAACAGTAAGCGGTTGTGATACCTTGCAGCTAAAATGCCGAAATACATAAAGAAAATAAAGAATATGGAGAACCTTCCAGGCGACGTTTTATCAAAAATATTCATCCGCTTATTAGCGAAACAGCTTGCACAAATGAGATGCGTTTGTAAAACTTGGAATGCTATCTTATCTGAATCCTCCTTTATAAAATCTCACCTACATCATTCAATCCATAACAACGATGAAATTCTCTTCTTCTTTAAGAAGAATACGATTATTTTTAACTGTTTTTCTAGTCCGGGTCCAATAACAGCACGCCCCTCTTCTTCTCCACGTCTCGAACTCACGAATTTCATTAAACTTAAATTCCCAATTAATCCCCAACATAAAAACCCCTCGGTCACTGTCATCATCGGGTCCGTGAATGGCTTAATATGCTTTAGTTACTCATCAAATCATGATTATTTCATTTGTATTTGGAATCCTTCTCTCTCTGCGTCCTTAACCCTCCCGCCATCTTCTTTGCCCTACACTAGATACTTTCTGGCATTTGGTTATGATCCCAAAACGGATGATTACAAAGTTGTTAAACTTGAAAACATACCGTATTATGAAAAACCTAACATCAACATGGTAACACAACCACTAGGTGAGGTGTATAGCATGAGAAAGGGTTCATGGAAGTTAATACCTCAAACGATTCCTTCCTACATCAAACTTTTCATTGGCCAAAATGAAGTTTGTTTAAATGGCCATCTTCATTGGCTTTGCCTAACTGATTTGGAAGTTAGTCCACGGCCACAAACGATATTGACATTTGAATTGGGTGCAATGACATATGGTCAGATACCTCTTCCGGATTCTGTACAACTAGATCAACATCTATTCCGCGTAAATACTTTGGGAGTTTTGGGTGGAAAGCTTTGTTTGATGTCGTCCGCTAAAGATGGTGAATTTGGTGTGTGGGTGATGGATGATGATGAATCATGGGCGAAGCATCATGTCTTTTCCCAGTTTAGTTCTTGTATAACTCCATATGGATTCACATCACACAAGGAGTTTCTTTTTCAAGTTGGTGTTACTTGTCGTTTTGCTCTGTATGATCCTGTTGCAGCCAAGACTAAAATCTTTAAGATTAAGATGAGGCCACCAGTAGTTGACAGATTAATAATTTTCAGGTACGTCGACAGTCTTGTTTGGATAGCACCTAACAGTCGATTAAAATTGGCTGGTTGAGAATGTCTTGAGATTCTATCGATGCATGATGCTCAGTTTCTTAGTTAGGTTTA